ATTGATAGAGGGGAGGGTTAATCCCACACCAGCCTGTGCGCCATCACTGAGCTGTACCCCTGCCCTGCTGCTTTTCTCTGAATTCTGACCGGACCGGTTTCTGCTATGAGAACAATGCTGTGGCATCGAAGAGCTGGGCTGATGAAAGAGGAAAGGCCTGACCCTTTGATTCCTCCAGAGACGGACTGAGCCCTTGTTCCATCCCCACGGCCTTTAGCTCGAACAGAGACCTGAGATCAACCTCCTTTCCTTTCTGTTGGTTGTATCTGCCTGAGCTGCTAGATGCATTGATGTATTTCCAGAGTCACTGGAAAGAAACCTTGATCAAGGAACATGGGGTAGGGGATTTATTTGCCAATTATTTGCAGCATATTCAGCACTGATACTGTCATAATGAGAAGGGAGCTGGCTGCGGGTGTTAAAGGTTGGCACTTGCGCAACAGACAAGCAAGATTTAGGTAGTGATTTTAAAAAATTCAAGACCCTGGGCCTGGACAGATGGTTCAGCAGTTAAGAGTGCTTTTCCAGAGGGCCTGAGTTTAGTCCCCAGCAACCACATTGGGTGGTCCATAGCTGCCTGTAACTCCAACTCCACGGGAATCAGATACCTCCATGGGCATCAATATACACATGCACATAGACACACATAGACACATACAGACCCACCACACACACACACACACACACACACACACACACACACACACACACACACACACAGAGAGAGAGAGAGAGAGAGAGAGAGAGAGAGAGAGAGAGAGAGTTAAAATAAAAATATATCTTGAAATATCCAAGACCCTGATACAGAAATGTCACTCCTTTTGAACTGTGGTTCTTGAGTTATCATAGAAAACCACTCAAGGTAGAGATACCGAATGGATGAGGAGCCTTCCTCTGAAGAGTGTAGAGTTTGAAACTCAAGTGATCCAAGGGTGCACTATTTTGCTACTGTCCTAGGGATGGGTGCTCCCTGGATGTTCACCTGGGAGGCTGAGTCCTGCAGGCAGGGTAGGGAACCCCGTTAAGTCCCAGCACTACAGCAGTGACCTCCCCTAAGGTGGGGACCAGGTTGCAGCTTTCTCTGCCTCCTTTACTTCTTTGTTGAGGTGGCCAAGAAAAGAAATATCCTGTCCCAGCTCTGGGATCAGATTGAAGCAGGTCTACTTAGGCCTCTGTAGTCGGACTTTCTTTGGGACTGCCAGCTCCCCAATAACGACAGGGAAACTCATTATTAATTATGAAAGCTTTGCCTTTAGTTTAGGCTTATCCCACTAGTTCTTATAATTTAAATTAACCTGTTTCTATTAATCTATGTTCTGCCACATGGCTCTTTTTTGTTTGTTTGTTTTTTGAGACAGGGTTTCTCTGTGTAGTTTTTAGTGCCTGTCCTAGATCTCGCTCTGTAGACCAGGCTGGCCTCAAACTCACAGAGATCCGCCTGGCTCTGCCTCCCAAGTGCTGGGACTAAAGGTGTGCATCAGCACTGCCTGGCTGCCACATGGCTTTTTGCCTCTCTTCCATTCTGGTTTGTTTGTTTGTTTGTTTGTTTGTTTTTTCAGAGCTGAGGACTGAACCCAGGGCCTTGTGCTTGCTAGGCAAGTGCTCTACCACCGAGCTAAATCCCAAAACCCCTCTCTTCCATTCTGTACATCCAAGTGGATCTGCATCTTGCTGGCATCTCCCACATGCCTAGATTCATTTCCAGCTCCTCTCTCTTCCTGGAAGTCCTGTCTATTCTTTCCTGCCTAGCTATTGGCCATTTAGCTTTTTATTAAACCAATCACAGCAATACATTTTCATTCAGTGTACAAATATCTCAATAGGCCCCTGCTCTGTGGTCCAAGTTATTGAACCTCTGAAGGTGCTGGCTCTAAAGCAAGGATGTAGGCAGCATCTTCCTGTAAGTGGTGATGATTTGCTGAAAGTTCATGAGAAGATGCCAGCCCGGTGCCTCTGTTAGTGTTTCATGAACAGAAGCCATTGTTGCTCCTCTTGTCCATAATTGTTTGCCTTTGAAAAAGGACCTTGCTCTGTAGCTTCAAGCCCTCCATCCTCCTGTCTCAGCCTCTTGGGGCCTAGGATTATAGGCAGGCATTCCCTCCTCATCGTACCATCTGTCAGCTAAAGCAAAGGGAGATTTCGCATTGCAGTGTTCATGTTCACACCAGACCATCCAGGCTTTTGGCTATTGAGGTATCCTTTATGGTTTATCTTTGGACACAGTTGAATAAACCCAGATAAGGAAGCAGACAGAGCCAGGGAAAGGCAATGGCCATGTAACAGGAGATTGAAGATCTAAAAAAAAAAAAAAAAAAAAAAAAAGAGCCCCAGGTTCAGAGAGGGTAGAAGGTTCATGCTCTGTCCTTCAGAAACTCCAAAATTAAATTTCAAATAACCCCTGCCTGGAGGTTGTTTTGTTTTGTTTTGTTTTTAGGGGCAGGTTGGGGGAGGGAATGCTCATGCCCACATGTCTAGAAGAGAGGTCCCTTCCTGAGAGGCTAGACTGTGTGCCATTCCTACAGTGGGAGCGTTCTTTGGTGTCCCTCACATTGACACGCTCCAACCATGGTCCTGGTGTGTGTCATCCTAACCTGTGAGCAGCTCAGGAGGAGAAACAGATGTTCCCCAGCCTACTTTCTAGCCCATGGCAGGCTTTAGGTGAATGTTTCTTGGGTGGTTGAAAGAATCAATAGCCAGTGAAAATAATTCTTTCCCAAACTGTCACTGAGAAGAGACACTCATGGAATGTTCTGGAACAGCAGGGTCCATGGCTTGAGCTGATGAATTGGTTGTTCTATCAGAGGACATCTGTGTCTCCAGTTGCCCCAGAGAAATGCAGGGACAGAGGAGGTCTTGCTCTCTGGACCATGTGAAGGAACCATTGAGATGAGAAAGATGGTCAGCAATCAGAATCAGGGGCTGCAATATTTCTTGTTGTCCAGATTCTAGTGCCCATTCTTACTACTCCCTCATGATGGTAAGAACACCCAAAGAAGCATAGCCAGCTCTCAAACCATGCATTTGACCCTGAAGACTGCTACCTTCCCAGTCATAAAGGCAAAGGCATCAGGACTTCTTATTCTGAGGACTTGGATCGTTTTCTAGATTGAATGAGCAAGGGCAAAAGGAAGGAGGCCATGTGCTAATAGCCTTCCAAAGTATGTGCCTGTAACACCAGTTCTATGAGACATTACCAAATAGGTCACAAACACAGGTTGGCCAAGAAACTTTGGGTAGTCTGAGTTAAAATTCATTAAATTAATCTGGTCATAGTGGTACATCCCTGTAATCCTAGCATTGGGAAGACAGAGACAGAAAGACCACAAATTTTAGGCCTACCTGACTTATGTAAGGAGACTCTGACTCAAAAAAAGTAAAATCCAGTAAGTTATTTCATGTGGGACCCCTTTTCCCCATAACCTTTAAGATGTTAACATGCTCTGTGGATTTCTGAAAGAGGGCTATGAAATGTAATACCTCAGATTCATTTGACCAAAGAAAGCTTTGCTTCCTTCCAAGTTGACCAAGTAAAAGATGTGCAGAAATCTTTTAGCTCCAAGTAACAAATGTCCAGCTTGTACCAGAAAGGTAAAATATTGAATTCAGTGCCTTTTCTAATCACCTCTAGTTAGGTGGGTCAGTAAGAACAGATCCAGGGGTCCGGACACCCCAGAGCACTCTCTATAATGTTAGCCTAGTTTTGTTCTACATGGTCTTCTTTCCCTTGCTTGTAGGATGCCCTCTCCACCATGACTAAGATCAAGGTGCTCAGAAACAAAGCCACCACCAGATCCTAACGTCTCTGTTCCTTCAAGGAGTCCTGTGGAAGGACCTGGCCACACCTGTGTCTGTTCACACTCTAGTGGGTGGGCAAGGGGCACCATGCTTTACATTTTCTAGGAGACCCTGAGGGCCAGAGGGCATAGGTGGGACATTTAAACAGAGGCAGACCACTCCCCAAAGGGTGTGCTGTTTAGTGGGGAAATGGGGGTGCAAGGACATTCCTGGGAAGACAAAACACAAGGACTGCCTTTGGAAATATGTCTTGGGGTTTACAGGAGCCTCTTTTCTCCTGATTTCTGAACCGTGCCTCAGCAAGCATTACTGAAATTGAGTGTTGGAAAAAACAACATCTCCTTGTTCTGTCCCTTGGCTTAAATTCTGAGCCTGATACTTGTATCATTTGGTTTGAAAAACTAATAATGGCTGGGATTGGAGATGTGGCACTAAAGACAGAACACTTGCCTAACATGCACAAAGTCCCGGGCTTTACCCTTAGCACTGGTTTAAAAAAAGAGATAAATAGATAAAAATAAATAAATTAACGAGGCAGTGGTGGCACATGTCTTTAGTCTCAGCACTGGTGAGGCAGAGGCAGGCATTAAGGCCAGCCTGGTCTACAGAGCAAGTTCCAGGACAGCCAGGGTTACACAGAGAAACCCTGTCTCAAAAGAAAAAAAGAAAGAAAAGAAAAAAAAAGTACATCCTCTTTCTCCAGGAATCTCCCAGAGTTTGATAGGTATCACCAGACTTAGCTTTCGTTGTTTCCTTCCTTCCTTCCTTCTTTCTTTTCTTCCTTCCATGTATATACATCTATCATGTGCATGTCTAGTGCCCACAAAGCCAGAGGAGGATATTGGAATTAAAGATGGTTGTAAGCTGCCATGTGGGTGCTAGGAATCGAACCTGGATCCTCCAGAAGAGTGGCCAGTGCTCTTAATCACTGAGCCACCTCTCCAGCCCCCACTCTTGGGTTCTAACTGAAGCAGTCATCATGAAGCAGTCATGACCGGAACTGTGTGTGAAGAGAGCTGGGCCACCTCTGCTCAGCTTTCCACACCTCTGCTATACCTTCTAAGCCTCGCCTGGCTGGTGGCAGTAGTCCTGTGAATCACAGGCTTTATCGTGCATGTCTTTGGTCAGTGGCTTATTGAAAAATATTGCTGTGGTTTTACAGATTCCTGACTTCCTTTCCAATATCTTTTTTTCTTCTGGCTCAGAGGACTTCACCAGCTCAGAGTCCAAGATCACTGCAATCACCTGGGAACAGTCAATCTCTACAGAAGCAGCAAGGGGACTCTCCTGGAACCGGTGCTGGCAGGTAGGGACCCAGCTCTGTAGCATGGGCAGATGCAGCCTGCAACACGCTCCACTCACTGCTTGTTCCAGCCCTTGCTTTACTGCACTTGTGTTGGGAAATTCAGACATGTGAGAAGTCCTCAGGGATGTGCTTTCAGACCCATGATTCATGGAACACTCTGTGGCTGGCTTGAGCCTGCGGGGAGTGGAGAATTCATAGCTTTTCTGGCCAGAGATGAAATTAATAACCGTACACTTCTATTCCAGCAGTGTTTCAAGTAGTTCAGCTTCCAGATCAGAACTAAAAATGAGAAAGAGTGAGGCTTCCAAGGGGCTTAATATGTGGTTACATGCAATGTGTAATCCAGGGTGGAGGCAGTAGAGGGGTGGCACTGGGCCCCAGAACGTAAGATCCAGGAGGCCCTTCCTCAAGCCACCCAGGGAGGCTGGGGGATAGATTCCAGAAGCCAACACAGCCACATTGTGGCCATGGCGTGTGGCCAGTCCAAGGGTAGCCCAGGGGTCAGTGGCCCCTCATCATGACCATGGCCAAGCCTGGTTTTCACGGCTCCCTAATAAACCTTTCTCTACCGAGTGTTCTGCACCCTTGAGCCTACAGGTGTTCACAAGCTGAAAGCCAGCAGACGTGAATGCTTGGTCCCCAGCAGGGACATAGGCCAAGCAGAGTGGAGTCGATGGGGGACCGATTGTGGGTTCAACTCATGAATAGGCCTTAGAGATGGTTAGTGTAACCCTCTTGAACAGCTCCCAAGAGTCTGTAATCATAGGCCTTGAAGGAACAAACACGAGCTCCTTGGACCAAAACTTTGAAATGAAGTGACCAGTCCCTGTCACCGACAGTGAAACTGGGCCACGGCATATTTTGTCATAGCATTTTCAAGCCTCCATGTACAAGGTGACAATGTTTTACTTTGGATATGTACAAGTGGTCCCTGGTGGCAGGAATTGCCATGTGGAGAGGGTGAGTGTTTCCTGGGTAGCTTGGGTAGTGGTGCCCAGAAGAAATTCTTGCTGCTTCTTGGCATGAGCATTAAGTTTCTTTAGGGAAATCATCAGATGGGGTATAGTATTTTGTTGGGTCAAAAGAGTGATTTGTTTGTTTGTTTATTTATTTGTTTATTTCTTTTATGATACACGGTCTCACTATGCAGCCTTGGCTGGCCTGGCACTCTATATATAGACTAGACTGGCCTTGAGCTCAGAACCCACGTACCTCTGCTTCTGAGGAGTGGGATTAAAGGCCTGTACCTCTAGGCTCAGCACAGGAGTGGTACTTTGCATTGACCCTCTGACCTCTGTCATCTCAGCATGGGAGCCTCCTTGTCCTCCAGATCTCTATCATCTGTTCCCCGTTCACAAACAAATAACGGGACAAGGCATTTAGTAGTCGGATCTACCCAAACGTCTAGGTTGACTCCAATGACATGGGGTACTTTTTTTTTTGGAGATCCCACACTTGGGAACCACTGCTGGCTGAGACTCAAGGCCCAGTTCTTCCTGCCTTGTCCTCAGGGAATCCCAGGGTCTCTAAGGAGACCAGGGGCCATGTTCCCAGCTTGTGTCACAGACGGATTTCTGAGTAACTGCAGCTCAAAGCTCCTTTGTTGCGTGTTCCTCAGCTTTAGTCACTTATCATTTTTCTCTTGAAGAACTGTCTCTCAAGGGCCTGGGCACTGAGCGTGAAAGAGATGGTGTGTGTCTAGGAAGAGGTAACATCCTATTCACAACTGAAAACAGGGCAGCCCTCGGGAAATGAGTGTTTGTGCCCATGCAGAGCCAGAACTCATCCCAAAGCTGCCCTGGCCCCTGGATCCTTCGTGCACTCAGGCTGTTTGTAGGAGGCAGGATGGGGTAGGGCTCCTGTGTGAGTCACAACAGCCTTGCCATCACTCAGAAGGACAGCAGTGCGATACTCACTTGCGTGCAAGTGCCAGATACCATGCCAAATGAGCTATGGCTACAAGATGACATTTTGCTTTCTTTGAACCGGTTCAGCTATGATTCTGAATCCTTAACTCTTCCAGGGTGGTGGGAATTCCCACAACTGCTGCCCTTGGGGCACTCCTTTTCGATTGATGGATGGATATAAGGTCTCTCTCTACAAAGACCTGGTTGTCCTAGATCAGGCTGGCCTAGAACTCACAGAGATCCTCCTGCCTCTGCCTTCTGAGTGCTGGAATTAAAGGTGTGTGCCGCCATGCCTGGCCTGCTGTTCCTTTTCTAAAGTCTGGTGTATTGAGGTTGCCATCTGACTTCTACTTCTCTATACCACCACTAAGACATCCATTGGTCCAGCCACTCTGTCCACTGACCACGTGACTACACTGCCTCCCTGTAACCTTTGCCACATGACCGTTCCCTTGGGGCTGCTTCCTCAATGCTCATCCACCTCTGTAGCAAGTTTCTTTGTTGGACTATCTCTGGATTACCAGCCCTCAAATAACAACACAGAGACTTATTATTAATTATGAAAGCTTGGCCTTTAGCTTAGACTTGTTTCCAACTAGCTCTTATGACCTAAGTAACCCATATTTTCAATCTACATCAGCCACGTGGCTCAGTTACCTCTCCTCAGTACAGAGTGTCGGACCTGCTCCAACTCTGATGGTGAAATCCATGTGCATAGATCTGCATCTGTGAATTCAACCCACTGTGGACAGGGGAAAATGCATTTTGTAACGAGCATATACAGATTTAAAAATTACTCCCTAAACAATACAGTGGGGCATCTATTTCCATTCTCTTAGATATAAGTAATCTAGTGAGTCATAGTATAGTAGAACCCACTCTGAACCCAGCACTTGGAGTAGAGGCAGGAGGATCACCATAAGTTAGAGGCCAGTATGGGATACAACAGAGTGTATGGTCAGACATTGTTCAAAAACAACAACCAGACAGATTTAAAAAGGAATCAAGATGATCTGAAGTATTTGGGAGAGTTCACTGTGGATTTGAGTAGTGGGGACTTGAGCACCCTTTGATTTTTGGGGAGCCTAGAGCCAGTTCTCTGCAAATAGAGAGAATGACAGAGGAAAAGGCACAAATTATTGCCAAAGAGTCTCTCTGCCCAGGCCCTTATCTCCACAGCACAAACAAGGACACAGACTTGGAGTGTTTCCTGATCTTCATTCGTGGTAGAAAGTCCACTGTTTTGCCTTAAGAACCATGCCCCTCTTTGAATTGTAGAACCAGGGCCTTATATGGCCCCCAGGGGTAGGTTCCTCACCTAGAGAGGAGCTTGTCCAACTGCCTTGCTTCCTGATTGCCACATGGTGTCACTGTTATAACAGCCCTGCATAGCCCAAACTCACTAAGTGTCCATCCCTGCCTGGACGTGGTTTCTGAGGGAAGTCAGTCCTGTGCCCCCGGAGTGAAGCTAGCTTAATCTGGGTAACACCTGTGCCTGCTCCCCATGTCTACCCAACACAGCTGGCCCGGATGTCTGCATCTGGGGCTGGTTCCAGGCCCATCAGGTCCAGGGGCCCTTCTCTCCTTAGGTACCAACAACTAAGAATGGTAGCCCTACAAAATGCAGCTGCTTTTGTCACGTGACCTTTGTAGACCAGCAGAGCTATGAGGCTGTAGTGGGGGGGGGGGGGGAGGAAGCAGGGTAGTAGCCCCCGGCTGGGGTTTCTTTGGAGAAACCTCCACTCAGGTGGGGCCAGGCTCTTTGTGCCACAGAAAAGAGTTCAGGATTCCATAGAAAGCAAAGTCAGAGTTTAGTGAGAAACGGGTTTAAAACAGATTCAAAGGGCTGGAGAGATGGCTCAGCAGTTAGGAGTGCTTACTGCTCTTGCAGAGGACCAGAGTTCGGGTCCCAGCATCTACATCAAGTGGCTCACAACTGCCTATGACTCCAGCTCTACAGTATCATACCAGCACTCCGGTCTGTCTTCGGCAGGTACACGCCTTCACATGCATATACATACACAGAAGTAAAAATAAATCTCTCTCTCACTCTCTTTTTTTCTGAGACAGGGTTTCTCTGTGTAGCTTTGGTTCCTGCCCTGGATCTCACTCTGTAGATCAGGCTGGGGTGTTATAGAGAAGATACTCATGAGAGAAATTGTGCACATTCAAGACACAGAGACAGGATTCTCAGGAGGGACAGGTACACAGGTGACCATCTTAGTACTAGTTAGAACTAGTTATACAGGAAGATACTGGTGGCTTCTGAAGGCATTGTTCACAGAGTTGCTTTCATAGTTGCACTTATTTATAGGGGTGTAGATATGCCATGGTACACTTAGGAAGGTCAGAGAACAATTTGTGGGCGCTGGTTCTCTCCGACCATGTGGTTCTCGGGGATCAAGCTCACTCATGTCACTGGGCCTGGTGGCAAGTGCCTTTACCCGCTGCATCTCCTTGCTGGCTCTATTCACAGGATTCGTAAGGAACCCCCCCGCCCTTCTTTAATGAGAATGAGATTATAGGGTAGTTTCTCAGATACCCTGGACAGGATTATAGTCTGGTTAAAAAAAATAATAACTCAAAAGGTCAACGAACTCCTTCCTGTAAGAAGGTCAGGAAGAAGGTAAGGCATTTGTTTTGATTGTAAACAAGGTCATCATCTCAGCAAATTACTGTTTACCGCTGGCAAGAGTGTGTGACTCTCAAAGGTCACCTGTGCCTAGGCCTCAAGCATGGTTGATGGCTAATTTTACATTCTCATGTGAAATCTGTTAAAAAAAAAATTAGTGATGGCACATGCCTTCAATGCTATCAGCAGAGACTCTGGACCTCTGTGAGTCTGAAGCCAGCCTGGTCTGTGATGTAAGTTCTAGGCCAAACTATAATCCTTTTCAGTGTATCTGAGAAACAACCCTAAGATCTCATGGTGCTCTATGGGGGGGAGGGGTAAGAAATGGTGAGTCGTAGGTGCTAAGGTTTGGGGTCAAGAACCCCCAAAGAAACCCGGCAGTTCGCTTATGAGCAACTGTGGAAATTGATCAACTTAGACACAATGAAGGAAAGACTATGAGCAGGAGAGACTAGCTGGGA